TGGGTTGGTCATGCACACACAAAATAAATACAATTTGAAACATTATATTGAGCCGGGTTACCTGCTAGTTTTTAATAATTTGAAGGAATTTAAATTAAAATGATTGCTTCTTAATGCTGCAATACCTTATGATTGTTCTACAAATAGTCAAACTCTGACAGCTTCTAGAAGACCATGGTGCATGGTTTCACTTGTTCCACTGCTTCTTTCTTACATTTGTTTTAGCTGTCTACATTGAGTTGTTCTGAGTCTTCCATGCAGCTGAGTGATCAGTCTACCCCTGGTGTAGCTTTGTTGGCCAAACGGTTTCCAAATACTTTAATATTTTTTACATTGTGAAGAAACTAGAACAGCCATGCAGTAAAATTAAAAAAAGGTACAGAATATTCATCACAGCATGTTGTCTGGCGGGCTTTCAAAACAAAGAATGTGAAATGTTGAATAAAAAGTGTTGTAACAAACAAACGAGCTGACAGTCAAGTAAGTTCAACTGGCAGTTCGCATGGCAGTTGGCCAACAAATTGGTCAACAAAGTCAAGTGGAGGGTGGACCAGTGGTCGTGCAATCAGCTCTCTTTACAGTTCATTGACGGCCCTAGCCCCAGCTCCAGCCTTTAAATGAACTTAAAACACGCGCAACTGACAAATGAAAACAATTGCAGTGAGTATTCGAATTGTGCCTGCGGCAGTTAAAGGCATAATACTCGTATGCACTAACACATAGTGCAGTCCACATAAGTTCATACAGGCTCAACCAGAGTCAGTTTAGTGCACGACGACATGAAGCGAAATGAGGATGTCGTCCACGAATCGCACGAAAGTGACAGCAAGCGTTTGATGCGCTCAAGTGTGTCCATAACAGTTATACGTATGTGCCACAGTGTGCATCTAGCAGATACTCGTATACACTATACATATTACTGAATAAAGTGGGTGTAATAATAACATTACAAACATTGAAACAGATCATTGTCCTCAAAAATTAAAATGTCTGACATTTTTGTAGCCTGTACACAAAGGGTAAAAGGCTATACTAGTTTTGTGCGAATGTATGTAACACGCAAAAGGAGGCGTGGCAGACACCACAAAGTATGTATTATATTATTGATCAGGATGACAAGACGAGTCGATATACCCATTTCCGTCTGTCTGCCTGTATGAACGCAAGGATTTCAGAAACCAGATTCTCCTAAGCCCGAGAATTGTTAATTTGTTGCCATAATTTCCAAAACCGAATTGTTCAATAACTATTGAGGATTTTGCAATAAAGTTGTCTCGGAAGAAAAAGAGCTATTATTTATAAAATCCGATTTGGAGGCAAGCTTTCTTCTATAGGCGCACAATTTATGTTTAGAGCGGCATAAAGAATTAGCGAATATGTAAGGAGTTCCTCTGAAAAGAAATTCCAAACCTTTAAAACAGTAACACAATTACTGAAAAAAATTCCACACCTTTAAAACAGTAACACAATTACTAAACATACCTTTCATTTTCCATTTATTTTGTTGTTTCAATTTTCAGGTATTTCCTTAACAAATTGTTAAGGATCAAAAGAGATACGCACGCCACTGTGTATGCAATATTTTATATGCCGCTAACTAGTCAAGAGAGCAGAATTTCTTTAAGCCGGAAGCCCATAAATGTACTGTTGAAATATTTGTGAGCCCGGGGAATGGTTGTGTAAAAAGTTTATTGAATGCCATACTTTGAAACTCTTCAGTCATGCGGGATCCCACCTGGCATGCGTGGCATGTAACATTTTGTTATTCTTGTTGTTTCTGTTGTTGCATTGCTGCAGTTGTTCTCGTGTGCCACTGCGCTTTTTGTGGCAAGTTTAATTTGCAAGTCACACCTACATATATTTCCACCGTGCGTTGCACGGCACTTGCTCAATTTTCATGAGTTTCAACGACTGAAAATTCGAAATTTTATGTTCACAGCCGTTGCTGTTGCCGTTGCCTTGCCATCTTGCTGCTACAATGGCATTGCAACCAACTTTGTGTGCATGCTGGGGTATGCCCAAAGGCATTTTGTTTGCACTGTGTCAGGGACATACAGATTAAATATTTTGGCAGTGAAAACCGTTGGGCATAACTCTCTTTAAACTGGCGCTCAGCTTTGGGCCCACAGTTGACGTCTCAAGTGTTCGGCCGCGCTCCCAACACTGACTGACTGTCTTTGCCTAACCTGCAACAAAAATTGCACAACGTCACTCTTTAGTAGGTCAAGCGCTAGCTGTGTTGTTGTCGCTATCAGTGTTGTCCCCATCCTCACCATCCTCATCATCATCAACATCAGCGTTGTCATTGTCATGAAAATTCTTGTGCTGAAACTGTCACTGAAGTTCTCGTCAAGCGCTGAAGTGGTGCCCCGTCTTCAAACGGCACCACCAACCTAACCACCTCGCCACTACCCTGTGAGTGCTGTCACAAACACAAGACTTGTGCTTGAGTGCTGTTGCGGGCTCTGTTGCTGCTCCTGTTGCCGCACCTGCGCATCGACTTGGCCGTGCTCAGGCATTCATCCACTTAATGTTCTCGCGCCCGACTATGTCAAGCAGTGTCTTTTTTTTTTGCCACGCTGCCATCGATAAAATTATCATTGGAACACTTGCCAGGCCATTGATGGCGTTTTTCGCTTGACTTTTAGCCACTACTCGTGCTAAAAACTTTTGAAATGTTTACTCTGCGCTTGGATTTTTATTTATAGTATGCAGCAGCTTGCCCCATACTTTAAAATGTCAAATCCAAAAGTCCTTGAACAGCTACTGTAGCAGCAGGATTGCAACATCTCACTGTCCGTAGCTGTAGCTGCAGCTGCAGCTGCCGTTTGCAGCGTGAAAAGCTCAAGGCACTTGAAGCGGAACAAAAAATCGTTAAATGCTGGGCATGAAAAATTAATGTAGGAGGATGCTAGAGATTAGAAACGCTCGCAATTGTAAGAACAATGGCTAAATTCAACAAGCCTGCGTGATGACAATTCCAAGCTGAATTTCAGACAAGATTCTCGTGAAAGTTACCTTGACAACTGGTTGTCCAGAATGGGGCAGAAACGTACCTAGTGAATACATTTTTATTTAATGATGTCTACTTTTTCCGAGCAATGTGTGGGATGCAATGGCAAACAGAGCACTTGACATTTGCAAACAGATATAGAAAAAATAGAAAGTAGTACACAGTCTCTATAACAATAAAAGCACATTTTAAAATGGGCTAATCTAAAACTATTAGGTTTTTTTCTAAACAGTTCCCTTCATTTAGTATATAGGTTTTGTTGATAGATATAGGATTTTAGATTTGTAAAAATACCATATTTTTTTTATAAAATTTAAATAAAATTAGGAGAGTTTGTTTACGAAAATGTGTACACAATTTTGGTTCTGTTCTTTTTCAAGATTTTCTTTATTTATTAGTACTCATTAAAATGTAGTTGGGACATTTTTTGAATATGCTTTTTGTTGTATTCTTTCGTTTTTTTCACAAATATTTCCTTGTTTTCATAATTACTTTCGCAATGTATTTTATCTTTTATACGCATTTTAGTTGGATTTTACTTTGATCTCTAATTTAGTTTTAATGCTCTTCATGTTCATTTTTATTAGTTGTGTTTTAATTTCATAATTATAAATTTTTAAACACTTTTTAAGGTATTTGCTCTTGTAACAATATGACTGGAATTTGTTTGCCAAATTTCGTTTGTTTAGTAATTTTTTTCCGAGTGTGTTTTTTATTTTGGTATTTCTATTTATTTTCTCGGTATCGATTTTAATATGTATAGTAGGTATATATTTTGCAATATTTTCAAGTAGACAAATTTGTAATACAGTTGGTAAAAAACGAAAAATTGTGCCACCAGATTATCTGAGTTTTTTTTTCAGTTTAAGTAGCTCGCTAAAAATTTGTTGACGTCGTGTAGCTGTTTACGCTGTTATTCTTAAGTACCCCAGTTTGCCAGTTTGTTTTCTTTGGCGGATTTCACTATCTTTTTTAACAACTGCCGCATATAGAGGATCAGTTTTTTTAAAAATTACTTCGTAGATACAATAAATACACACAATACTCGTATTTGGTGCGGTTTGGCAAGGCAAACCGAATTCAAACAATATATTTCACCATTTACTATAGGGTTTGCCCTTTTTGGTTGCCCTACGATTTTCTTTTACAGTTTTTACATTAATTTTTCTTTTGGAACATCGTGCCTTTCTTATAACATGGTTTGCAATTTTAACTGCGTTTAATGCATTTTGCTTTAAAGAGTAGTTTAGTTTCATTTATGCCTATATTTTTGTAGTTTACTTTATAAATTAAACATTAAATAAGTTGTTCTATTTATTAATAACCAAGTTGAAACATTATTTTGTAAATTGTATTGGTGTTTGAAAAAATGTTGTAATAAGCAACTTTGTTAGAGACTTAAAACATTTAGGTCAAGCATTGTAATAGTTTCCAGAATATAATAAAAGCCCAATACTCATTGTTTCTTCTAAGAATTTTATGGGCTTATGAGTGGTACAATTTGTCGATGGAAAGTGCCAACAAAAATTAATTGACACTAAGATCTTTCAAAATAAACATTAAAATTTCTATGTGCCTTAAAGTAGCCTCTTGCTTTGGCCACAAAGGAAACAATCAAGCTCTATAAAGCTATTATAATAAGCTGCAAACAAAGCAAATTATTAATATTATGCCCAAAACTTGCATTATCGTTTGGAACTTGGCATTATCTTTTTATTGCTCATTCGAACACATAGTAAACAACTGAACCGAACGCTTAGCAATACAAGCCTATAATGAAATGAATTGAATATTATTATCTTATAGCAATATTATTATAAACATTTCTCATTTAAGTATGCCGTTTAAATTTATTTAACATATTCGCTAAAAAGTTTACAAGTGTGCAAAGATTTGCTGCTCGTCTAGGCGCCTTGGCTGCTGCGGCTGTCGCCAATTTGCTTCGAAATATCATTTGGATTTTTGTTGTATTATTATTATTATTTTGTTTTTTAAAAGTAATCATTTGACAGCTTTCGGTTAGAAACACCAACAAATTCAAAGTCATCCGGGCATGAAAAATTACCACTTTATTCCGGATTGGTCTCTTTGCGTATCTTATGGCCACGGAACGAGGCTTGTATTTTGGTAGCAGCCTTGTTCAGCTCAGGATCGGTCAAATCAATATCTAGTTCCTCGGCAACTTTCTTAGTTATCTCCTGTATATCAACATCCTCGGGCTCATCCTTGTTGACCAGTTTGCGTGCCAAGTGCCCACGGAAAGTAGATTGAATTTTCAATGCAGCATCACATAGTTCTGTGGCGAGAAGAGAAGAAAGGGGGAAATGGTTGTAAACTGCGAATGTGTCTGTGATACAATTAAGTGGCTCTGAATTACCCAAATATGTGCTATCTCTTAGCACACCCCCCAAGTACAGTGACCAGGAAACTTTGCCAAAGTTTGAGCATTTGCTGTAGTTTCCTTAATTGCAACACTCATTGAAACTTTAGACTCAACAGCATTATAAAAGAATTTGCTTTTAATTTACTTTCAGTTGGGAGGTGATTATGCAATAATTTAACAGAGCTGTTTATGCAGCTGTGCTATGAGTAGCTGAGATTAAATTCAATATGAAATACATATATACATATGTAAGTATAAGGTTGGGTTGAAATAATTAAATACTTAATATATATGATAAAGAAAGGAATCACGAGAGATTTATGTTACAGTGAAGTTCATGATTTCTTTTCATTTCTCCCTCTAAGAGTTTGTTGTGAGACTCAGTTTCGTTGATCCTCTTTTACAGGCCATATAGAATCTAAGAGTCTACAGTAATCTAAAGTGATTTCTCTCATCATAAGGATGAACTTCTATTGAACTCTTTACTGGGTTTCAGGATACTTGGCAATATTCGAAATAAATAAGCGGAAAAACACAAGTTAGGCAACTTAGCCAAAATTATGTCTCAGCTTTTAAGCTATTTATATGGAGAATGAAACTCACTATCTTGTAATATATGTATGCATTAGTTTTCGTACCCTGCCTTTTATTTTTTAAAATTAATAATCTCTACCTTTTAAGACGTCCAATGTTCCATTCACTACCTCGAAAATGCATTGCCTGACCTACTCTCCCCACCCCACTGTATTTATCTGTCACTCTCTAAACTTAGTTGAATTATCTCGTCGTTAGTTTCCTTAATTCCGTGCAAATTCATTACCATTTCACTTATTCGTTTGCTTGACATCTTCGTATTTTTCCCCCATCATTTTATTTCCGTTCAGTATTTGAAAAGGACTTTGTCACGTAGTCGCACTTTTGCTCAAATAAATTGGCTAAAAATAAGTGCAGTTGGATTAGACGTGGATATAAAATCGATTGCTTGTTTTGTTCTGTTAAGGTGTGTTGGATAGACATAAATAAAATAAAACAGTTGCAATTTGCAAGTTGATGCGAAAATTTATTGAAATTGATTTCGGAAATCATTCCAAATACGAGAATACACTACGGCCTTGGAAATTGCGATACTAGCATTTAAAGTATGCTCTGCCACAAGCCTATCCCATGATGCTACTTAGCTCCTCCGCCATTGTCGACGCAGGAATTGACTAATAATATTACGCATACGTTACGTTGTCATTCGATCCTCTTGAGAGAAGCAGAGGCAGACGAAATCATGCCTCGCCACGCAGTGCATACTTAATGTGCGCCGAGTGCACAAGGATGTGAAAAAGTCGAAAACAAAATTACGCTTCATTTACAATGCTCGGTTGCATATAGCTTGTGGAGGGCTGATAGGTGGATGTGGCTGGGTCTCTGGTCTCTGGTCAAGCCATGTACGTGCTTTGGCAAAGTTTTTGATTCGATTGCGAGCTGGAGCATAAAAAGATAGATCGACTGGTAGAAGAAACAAGGGTACTAATGATGCTAATTTTTGTATTGCTGCGCCAAACCCAATTAGCATTTAATTACGTTAGCAAATGTTGTGGTCTTTAAATCATGGTCCTGTGGACTATAAGTTGCACTCTGTGGATTGTAATGCTGCTTTTGTCTTTGATGGTGTTAAAAACAATCGATTTAAAAATTCACTTACAAATTAAGCGTTAATTGGCGCACGGAAGGCAGCAATTATTTCAACATACTTATATGGCACAAATAATTTTGCAAAGCGTCCACTAACCCAAGGTGTATTTGCCATAGAACCTTAATTTATTAATAACCTTAATCTTGTGCATTTTTCAGCTCATCTAAAGATCTCAAACCGATCTGCTAAAAATGTAAAAAAATATAATACCTCTAATTGCTCTTCTTTTAAACATTTAAAGTTGTAGACATTTTTCGCTAGTTATTTATATTAGGCATTCGCAGTTTCTTTAAAAAAAAATTAAATCGAATCGAGGCTCCGATAGCTACTTTTGTAATACAATATTAAAAAAAATACTTATTGTGCCGTGGTCAATTGAGTTTTATTCTGCTCTTATTGTGCAATTTTTAGATTGACTTCGTGGAGATGTTCTCTTACGTTGCAAGGCTATGCCATGGATTTTAGGATTTAGGATTAGTGCAGCAGTAAATGTAATATTCAGCTTATTTTTTACAACTTTTTTATTGAGGTTTTGTTGATAAATAGGCACTCTTAATCAAATTTTCATTAAAAAAAACCGGATTTTTATTAATAGGATTTATATTGTATCATTTAAATATAACGATTTTCAACAAACTGTGCGAATTCCTTAAATCTGCATGATGTTTCTTCTGTTGTCAATCTGTAAGTGTCTTATTATTGTCAAAACGGCTTTTCCAATCGAACTCAGCGATAGTATGGACTACCTTCAGTAATGCTCAATGCTATGCATTGAAAAGAACTTCATAATCCAACAAATACATACAGCTTTGATCAATATACTATTTATATAAGCAGAAGGCTTAAAGCCCTATTTTCTAAGGCGTTTTTTGATTTTGTTCAAAGCTTACATTAATAATGCATGCCTCTGCATGTGTTCGTAAGTGTGGGTTCTGTGTAGTCGTTTCATCCCCCTTTTAATTTTACATTACATAATTGTTATTTTCCGCTCACACGCTCACCTTAACAAGCATGCTAGATTACATAACTGCAGTTGTTACTGAGCCCATTTATGGAAATGCTTAAAAGATTTTATTGGAAATATTGGATTAGATTGCGACTTGATTGTTTGGTAATTTATGCGAAGTGGCAGACATAACGGATAAAGATAGCCTTCGTGATTTGTTAAAACACGTAACGGGCTAATTGTGGTTGAAGCCGCGAAGCGAGACGCTGCTTTAGTATTTTATTAAATTACATATACGCCACGTAAGGAAACGTGACCAGAGTTGATGCACGTACCGCGCGTGGCATTGTTGCATTTATGATTATTTATACATTTATTTAAAATATACACACAAGACGTGCAAATAGCAGCAGGACCAAGGCACAGTTATGGGCTAGGGAGAGAATCGTGAGTGCAGCTGGCTATGCTAATGCATATGGATGTGCCTAGCATTCCGCTGTCGCCATTAGCTTTGCCTTTCTCTTTAGGAGAATGAGCAAACATTTCAGAAAATTAAACAAAACCAACTAAATATTTTTCCCTTCTTGCTGGCATTGCGTTTCACTTTGTCCGTCTGTCTGCCTGCCGTGCCTGAACTGTCTAGGAACAAGTCGACATGCCGCGGATAGAGATTTGCTTAGTTGCTGCCACACATGCTTAGACAAGGACTCACGTACAAACCATGTCTTGTCACAGGACATATACACAAAGGCACACAGGCAAATCCTGTGAATGCTGTCTAAAAACCTGAACAAAAACATCTTGTCCGAGGGAATGAGCGGCGTGATAAGGTCGGCATACGAAATTGAGTTTGCTTTGCTGCTTGCTGGCTGTATCTTTGGCTTGCGGCTGTTGTTTTTGCACCTGCTATGATTGGGCATCAGGCACGTACAGGTAGCTCGGCCTGAGCCAGCATGTTCTGATTTACATTTTGGAGCAGTGGTCGACTCTGGGCTCATGTAGTTGGCTTGCATGCACTTGCTGCCTCCGTGCTGACATTATGATTGAGCAGCCATCAGCAGTGCGGCTATGACTTAACCACCTGCGGAGAAACGCATTGTCGTGGCTGGCTAATAAACTAAGGGATTCTGAATTAATAACAAGCCAAGTCAACGACCAAGAAGCAAGACCAAGAATGCATTTCATGGAAATAATCTTATATTGCTGTTTCGTAACTTTATTTTCGTCAACGTTCTTCTTGAAGGTAACAAAATATGAGAACCTTTAACTGAATACCCATTTGATAATGGTGATCCAAGCAACGAATTGTTTTCTGGAAATCCGAAGCTATTTATTATGCAAAACGAGTTCAAATTTATTAATGATGGCTTGCTCAGAAAAAGCTTCTCTTTGAGAATTTTATTAACTGAACGTCTACTTCATGCTTTTATGCAATATTTGGGAAAAAATATAACAGCTAACTACGCTGATCGCGTTTACAACCGTAATTACTCATACGCCATGTGTGCTTCATACTACCTGCTTGCAATTTAAGCTGCCTGTCCATTTGCCCATAATGAGAGCTGCCTTGGTTGGCGTCACTGGCAATATTAAAGGTGTACACTGGCCAGGAGTAGGCGACGTGGTTGTGGAAAATAAACTGTTATTACAACAGTTACAGCAACAGAAACAAGAAGGGAAACAGCGGCAGCAGCAACATGTGCGCGCGCCATATTGCCACATTCCTTGTGTCCACGGTTGTGTGTGTCTTTATTGTTTGTGTGAGAGTCCACGCTCTTGACCCACATTCACATGTACACAACACAACACAGCACTGCACCAACAACAATGTAAATTTATATTAAAAATAAAACAATGCAAATGTGTAAGAGGAATATATAAGACTATGTTGTCTACCTCCGTATAAAGCTCACCTACATATGCACATAAATATGAATATGTACCCGTAAATATGCAAGTATACTTGTATATATACATGTGTGTGAGTACCATTAGCAGAAGTGCAAATCTGTACCTTGTGCCAAGTAATTGTGTCACACCCACACACACACACACACTTACAAGTACGTTGAAGCAAATTCACACGCTCTTATAATGAGCACACGCTGTGGTAAGGATATTTGAAAAAAAGAGGGTAGGTTCACGCAAGTTAGACTTTTGGACACCCTCCACTCCAAACAAATAAAACTAAATTCTATGAATACATTGTGAGAGAGGCGGTTGGGCGGGCATGTCTAGCTCGATTCGTCTCGCCATCCTAATACAAAATATATTTATATACGA